CGACTGTACTCCGTGTACTCCGTACTCCTGTGTACACGAAAAATTCAAGTCGCCCACCCCTCGGTTTAAGCCCCCATCTACATTTCTCAGCCGTTTCGTTTAGATCTTTTACAGCTGTGTAGGGTCTGCCCAAAATCGTCTCCAGATAAACTCATACCAGGTAGTATGTTTTAAGAACGTACTTCACACAGCACATCTTTTAGAGACGTACTATAACTTCCTTAAACATATAAAAAGCGGCAAGGGTCCGTGAGTGTCGTTCATGTTTTCTTGACGGTTTACCGGGTTTGCAGGACGGTAGAGGCCTGGTCCATGTGCCACCGGGGCCACAATGCGTCGCGTTTCCCGATCTAAGATCACCACTGTACTGGGGTTTGCACTTGAATAGGACGACTGTGCCCGGCGGCTGCGGTTCTTCACAGGGGCGATCAGAGCTATCCAAGTAGCAGGATATGTCGAGTGTTGCCGATTGAAGAGGTGGGCAGAAGGAGCTCTTGTTCGACACCGGCAGCTTGGATTGTGCCGCGTCTGCTGTTGGGTCTCGAGGCTGTGTTGGCGCGCTTAGGATAAGTCCCGGAGGAGGGCACATGGGGGGCCCCTCAGGAAACACGATGGCGGTCGAGCAATCATCTGGAAAAACAAGCAGAAGTGCCCACTAATGCTACATCCAGCTAAGTACCGCTGCGCCAGAGTGGATGACCAATCAGGGAAGGCACTAAGACACCACTTTGCACCTGCAGTACCGCTTCAGAGGGCTAGAAGGCAATAAACAGCCTTGTTAGGGCACTTGTTTGCCTTCTCCGTGAGTCAGAACGAGAGTGGTTGTGCGAATATGTGCGTAAGAAGATGTTTGCAACTTTTTGGCGTCTAACCTAACTATTTTTTTTTCTGAGAGGGTATTTTCCGTGTATAACCCAAACAAAATTTTTGGAAAGGGTATCTTTTGAGTGCCTTACATGAACGTAATTTTTTAGAAGGGTATCTTTTAAAGGCCTAACGTACACCTAATTTTTGGAAAGGGTTTCTTTTGACTGCCTAACTTAAACCTAATATTTTTGGAAGTGTATTTTATGAGTAACTTAAATCTAATATTGAAGCAAGGACGTGTTCGGACTTGTCTTATGGGCGTGTAACATGGACCTGATTTTTTTCGAAGAGTATCTTTTTGACGTCTTACTTAAACCTGATTTTAAAGCAGTGTCTTTCGGGTGTGTAACATAAACATAATTATTTTTGAGCGGGTATCTTTTCATTGCCTGACTTAAACCTAATATTTTTGGAAGTGTGTCTTGTAGTTAAATAACTTACACCTAATTTTGAAGAGAAGACGAGTTTGGACTTGTCTTATGGGTGTGTAACATCAACTTCTTTTTGTCGTGGACGAGTGAGAGGAGGAATTGTTCATGCTCCCCGAGCTGCTCGCAGACGCGCACAAGACATTCTCGGGTCAAACCTTATTTTTTTGAGAGTATCTTTTGAGTGACAAACACAAACCTAATTTTGAAGCAAAGCAAGGACGTGTTCGGACTAGTCTTTTGTGGGTGTGTAACACTAACCTATTTTGGTAGGGGTTGTCTGAAGGGTGACAAAACCACACCTAATATTTTGGAGAAAAAAGAAAAGTTAACTGGGTGGGGCTCAAACAGAGGCTCTCGAAGCACTGAGTTATCGATCTTACCTTGAGAGGTCTTTTAGAGGTTCAGATCCCTCTTCTCACATGTTTTATAAGTTTTAAGTTTTATGTGTTTTTAACATGTTTTTTTAGCCCGCTCTTCTACTTTTAAACAAGCAGGCCCACCCTTCCGCCAAACGAAGTCGCCAGCTCCACTTCGCTCCGCCGGCAACTCCGTTCGGCAGGGGACGGGCCTGCTTGGCCTGCCAGCGGCGATGGTCGGGCCTGCGGCCCGACCATGTCTGTCACTCGATTTGCAAAAGAACATGATCTGATGTAGCGGGCCTTCGGCCCGCTTAAAACCGTCGTCTTTGAGTTTGCCCCGTAGACACGAGAAAGGGATGTAACGGTGAAGCACCGTGACTACAACCCAGCCTTCTGCTTAGAAAACGTTGTTTGGGGGTGGGGAGAGTTTCTTTCCTATTTTGCGGTTTTTAGGCTCTTTTCTACAACTTATTGTTCACTATGGCAATTTTTAGCTTATTTTCGTCAAAAAAAAGACCCTCTAGCGCCTAAACGGCCAGAGATAGAGCAAAACATGTGAAATTGTCATCCAACAGGCTTTTACTTACGACGAGTTACCCCTTAGGAGAACCTAATAAAAATAAGGTAGGCCCGCTCCTCTGCCAAACCAAGTTGCCAGCTCCGCTTCGCTCCACCGGCAACTAGGTTCGGCAGGGAGCGGGCCTAGCTTGGCCTGCCAGCGGCCTGCTGGCCTGCCGGCCGAAGGCCCGTCCCATCTAATTTTTCATAGAGTAGTAAAGCTTCCATCGGAAAACGGGCCTTAGGCCCGTTTGAGTGACAGCTCGCTTTGAACCATCTTTTTGCTGTCTACTTAATCAAAACTCAAACAAGCAGGCCCGCCCTTCCGCCAAACGAAGTTGCCAGCTTCGCTTCGCTGCGCCGGGCAACTCCGTTCGCCAGAGGCCGGGCCTGCTTGGATTGCCGGCGGCGATGTTTGGGCCTGCGGCCCAACCACTTCTGTCAGGCGATTTGCTGTAGAACATAATCAAATGATGTAACGAGCCTTCGGCCCGCAAAGCCCGTCGTCCTTAAAATTTGCCCCGTAGACACAAAAAAGGGATGTAACGGTGAAACACCGCGTATACAACCCACCCTTCTGCTAAGGAAACGTTTTTTGGGGTGGGGGGAGGGAGTTTCTTACCTCTTTTGCGGTTTTGGGCCTTCTTTTACATTTAATTGTTCGCTACAGCAATTTTTAACTTATTTTCGTCAAACAAGACCCTCTAGCGCCTAAACGGTTAGAAGTAGAGCCAAACGGACGAAATTTTCGCCCAAAGAGCTCTACTTTGACAAGTTATCCCTTAGAAGACCATCCAATATTTTCGGAAATTAATAAATTTATTTTTGGGCCACTTTTGGGAGAGAAACTCCGTCTAGCGCCCAAACGGTAGAAGATAAAGCAAAACGGACAAAATTTTCCCCTGTAGCACTCTACTTTTCGTCCCTTGTACTCTATCTCTAACCGTTTAGGCGCTAGAGGGTCTTTTTTGTCGAAAATAAGCTTAAAATTGCCGTAGTGAACAATTAGTTGTAGAAAAAGGCCTAAAACCCGCAAAATAGAAAGGAAACTCTCCCTCTTCCCCCAAAAAACGTTTTCTAAGCAGAAGGGTGGGTTGTAGTCGCGGTGCTTCACCGTTACATCTTTTTCTCGAGTCTTTGGGGCAAACTCAAAGACGACGGCTTTAAGCGGGCCGAAGGCCCGCTACATTCCATCATGTTCTTCAGCAAATCGTGTGACAGAAATGGTCGGGCCGCAGGCCGGACCATCCGCGCCGCCAGGCCAATCAGACCCGGCCCCTGCCGAACGGAGTTGCCGGCGGAGCGAAGCGGAGCTGGCAACTATGTTTGGCGGAAGGGCGGGCCTGCTTGTTTTTCTTTGCATGGGAGTGTAATCATCTTTTTAATGATGCGCCACCATAAAATAAGCCCACTCTTCTGCTTAGAAGAAATTTGAACCGACGGCATACTTCTCAGACAAAAGTGTACTCCTGAAAAAAAAAACGAAAAAGGTTCAGTTTAGGCCACTTTGGGTAAGAAAAATTCCATTTTATAAGTAAACAGTGAAAGCCAAACGGACGACATTCTAGTCCAGAGGGTTCTTCTTTCACGATTTACCCCTTTGGAGACCATCAAAAATTTTCTTAAAATAATGTACTTATTTTTTGGGCCACTTTTGTGAAAAAAACCCCTCTAGCGCCCTGTCATAAAAAGACAGATCGAGTTCGAAGATGAGCATTCTAGCTCCAAAATTAGATTTTAAAAAATCAAAAACAACAGGTCCCCAAAATGACGTTTTTTAAAAATATTTTTTTTTTGGTTTCCCAAGGGGAAACTCATCAAAGTAGAGCCCTTCGGGCGAAAATTTTGTCCGTTTTGCTCTAGCTCAAACCGTTGAGGCGCTAGAGGGTGTTTTTGACGAAAATAAGCGAAAAAATGTACAACCCTGCATGATTGGCTGAGCGATTAGCGAAGCCTTTTACTAGGTCTGGTCGGAAAAAACTTTTTCTGTCTGTCTGTCTGTGTGACTGTGTATCTGTGTATCTGTCCGCACGAAAACTCGAAAACGAATTGAGCGAGCGACCTGGGATTTTCAGGGTCGTTTTGTATCATAAAAAGATAGATCGAGTTCGAAGATGAGCATTCTAGCTCAAAAATTGGATTTTAAAAAAATCAAAAACAACAGGCCCCAAAAATGACGTTTTTGAAAAATATTTTTTTATGGTTTCCTATGGGGTAACTCGTCAAAGTAGAGCCCTTTGGGCAAAAATTTTGTCCGTTTTGCTCTAGCTCAAACCGTTAAGGCGCTAGAGGGTATTTTTGACGAAAATAAGCGAAAAAATGTACAACCCTGCATGCTTAGACGAAGTGATTGGCCGTTGACGGACCGTAGGCCCGTACCTTGGTGTACATTTTCCCACTACCCGACTCGGGTGTCAGCGCCGCAGGCCAAGGTAGATGTATGCCAGGCGCGTCGCAGCGTAACAGTGTTTCGTGAGATATCGCGAAGCCTGTTACGCGAGACGTGGTCTGGCGTACATCTACCTTGTTAGTCGAAGTGACGGGCGTTGACAGACCGGAGGCCCGTATCTTTGTGCACATTTTTGCACTACCTGACTCGGGTGTCAGCGCCGCAGGCCAAGGTAGATGTATGCTAGGTGCGTCGCAGCGTAACAGTGTTTCGTGAGATATCGCGAAGCCTGTTACGCGAGACGTGGTCTGGCGTACATCTACCTTGTTACTAGTTGGCTGAGCGATTAGCGAAGCCTATTACTCCGTCTGGTCGGAAAAAACTTTTTCTGTCTGTCTGTCTGTCCGTCTGTGTGTCTGTGTGTGTGTCTGTCCGCACGATAACTCGAGAACGAATTAAGCGAGCGACCTGGGATTTTCAGGGTCGTTTTCTACCATAAAAAGACAGGTCGAGTTCGAAGATGAGCATTGTAACTCAAAAATTGGATTTTTAAAAAATCAAAAACAACGGGTCCCAAAAATGCCGTTTTTTTAAAATATTTTTTTATGGTTTCCTAGGGGGTAACTCATTAAAGTGGAGCCCTTTGGGCGAAAATTTTGTCCGTTTTGCTCTAGCTCAAACCGTTGAGGCGCTAGAGGGAGTTTTTAACGAAATAAGCGAAACGATCCTGCATGCTTATTCGAAGTGACGGGCCGTTGACGGGCCGGAGGCCCGTATCTTTGTCTACATTTTTGCACTTGGTGACTCGGGTGTCAGCGCCGCAGGTCAAGGTAGATGTATGGCAGGCGCGTCGCAGCGTAACAGTGTTTCGTGAGATATCGCGAAGCCTGTTACGCGAGACGTGGTCTGGCGTACATCTACCTTGTATAGGCCTA